AATCTGTGTTTTTGAGCCAGACTGTGTCTATGTCTAGATCTGTCTTCGTCTTTTCACTCTCACAATTTCATTAAATTAATGTTTCACTCGTATCACAGAGTGTTCTGTGGCCTGGCACTATTTTAGACCTTGGGGATACAGTGAGCAAAACAGGTAGGATTCCTGTCCTGATGGAGTTTATGTTTTGGTTGAGGAATACAGATAATAAATCTAATGAGTAAATGATCAGAAAATCAGGACAAGTCCAGATAGTGATAAGTACTATGAAAAAGCTAAAAAGAAGGAGGAGGAGGAAGAGGAGGAGGAGGAGGAGAGACAGAGTGAGTAGGGGGAGGGGAGGGAGGGGTATACCCACTTCAGATGGATGAGCAGGAAGGTCTCCCTTGAAGAAGTGGTATTTACCCTACATGATCAGAAGATCTGAAGAAAGAATGAGCCAAGGAGAGTAACAAGTACTGGACAAAGGTCTTGAGGTGAAAACAGGCTTGGTTGGACATGGCACATGAGGTAGAGAAAGCCAAGGGACGAAGTCACACAGAAGGCAGGGGTTAGAACACAGAACTTTAATTCAGAGAGAGGGACTTTTCACTTTATTCTAAGGGCATTAGATAATTAGATAATAGAAGCCATTAGATAATGTAAAGCAGGGAAATGAAATGACTTATTTTCATTGTGAAAGCACACCAGGCTGCTGGTTAGATTACAGATTGGCAAGAATGGAAGCAGGGAGGCTGTTACTTTAGAAGTCTCTTTTCAGAGTCGGGGTGAGAAATAACACCCGCTTTGGCCGAGGTGGTTACGTCGGACTAGGAGCTAGAAGGAGGTGAACAGACTCAGGATCTACTTTAGAGCCAGAGACAAGAGAACTTGCTGATGGATCGGATGTGGGCTGGAGGAAATTAGCGGACTCTAACGGAGGGGGGGGGGCTGGTTTACTGAGATGGGAAGACTAGGAAAGGAACAGGTTTCTAGGGGGACATCAAAAGACCTGTTTTGCTCGTACTTTGTTTGAAATGCCCATGAAACACCCAGGTGCAAGCAGATCGTTCGAGACGTGGAAGTGAAGTGGGTCGTCGGCAGTCTCCCTGAATTGTCAGCCTGTTTGCAGAAATCTCGGAAAAGTCTGAGAATGGGCCTAGAAGGGCATCCCTCTTTCCTCTGGGCCAGCAAAGGTCCCCTACAAGGCCCAGATCCCTGTTATCGGAGGGGTTTGGAGTGCCCGTGGGTAGCATTATGCTTCGTTTCACATACTGGAAGTGCGTCAGGAGTCGAGGAGGTCAAGCAAGTTGGAAATTGCTATTTGTCATTTACCTACGCATCAATTTGCCAAGCGTCTTCTCTTTAATTTTGAGTGATCTGCACAGCTGACTCTTAGCATGAAGTTTCTGGTTTCTGCTTCTTTCTTATTACTCCCTATTCTGGCTTCTCTTACCAGCCTTTACTCTCTGGACTGTTTAAAGTAAAAAGCTTTCATCCACCCCTTGGTGATTTGGGAGTGCAGAAAAGCTCTCTAAGGGAGCCCAGGAAATAGCTTGCCTCTTCATTACTTCTGAAAAGTTGAGGAGGGGAAACTAAGAGTGAGATAGGTGGTTAGGTTGGAAGGAGGGACTTCAGGTCTGGTAGCCAGGTGTGCTGGGCTAATACTGAATTCCAGAATTCCGGCAGTTCTGGGCTCAGAGAGATTAATTCACCCTGTGGGCTGTACCTCCTGAGAGGAAAAAAGGTAGTAGAGCTAAGTCCAGTATTCTAGCTTACTCTGGCCAAATTTACTTTATAACATCAGTGGTAAAATGGTTACATTTCTGAAGAGCCAGGAAACAGTCCTCCCCATGGGAACTTGGAGTGGGGAGAGGCATTTTCCTCTAATGGATAATGGAAATGTTCTCCATTAATTGGGCTGGTTTTATATATTTCGATCAGTAAGTAGGGCACAGTTAAATTCAACAAAGAGGCATCTAGTACAATTCTGCCACTTATTAGCTGTTAATTTGGGGAAAGTTTCTTGACCTAAGTCTCAGATTTCTCACTTGTAAAAATGAGGATACTGGTACCTACCTTGTAAGGTCATTCATGTGACATATTCAGTGCACTGCCTGGGCCAGAATAAGCACTCAATAGTGACTTATTACTACTATTATTACTGTAATGATGGCTACCAGTATTCTCATGTTGGGAAATCTGCTAGGTGCTAGGGAATATAGAAGACACGATCTTACCATCTAAAAGCTCAAGACTCAGTAAGGAGGTAGGAATCAAAAAGCATTAAAAGACAGCGTTACACGCATATGGTAGGGTTTCTTCACCAGAAGGATGCCTGTCAGTGAGACTGTCGTGAGACTCCATCCATATAGGCTGGACAAAAACCAAACCAAACCAAAAAAACCATCGTGAAATTGTCAAGTCTCTCACATCCTTCCCGGATAGGGGGTCAAGTAAGTAGCTCAGTGGTTTGCCACGAAATGTATCAGGAAATCTATGTTTTTAGACTTTTTTTTAAGGGAGGTAGTCAGTGGTGAGGTTATTAGAACGATGAGGAAAATCCTCAGAGTGGGGGAGCCAGGGTTCTGATTAGTCCCCCAGATCAGGCAAAAGAGTTCATTACTTTGAAATCTGACACCTGGGGCCTAAGCTGGCAAAGCCTAAAGTCCATGGGATCAAGGTGAGACTGGGACAGGCTGCACGGGCTCAGATTCTGACACAGCACAGACCCTACTGGGAAGGTTCCCTTTGGTGACAAGGCGTTGCCTGTTTACTTTGCTTTACTTCTGTAAACAGCTTTGCTGCCTCACCCCTGAGCCACCCCACATGCAGCGCTATGCCTAGGCTCCTTGCAGCTGTCATCCATTTATCCTCATTGCCTCAGCTCACTGGGAATTGGGCCAGGCGCGCTTCCTGTTAGAGAGTTCTGGAGTGTGGGTGGCCCACCCCAGAAAATAAGCCAAGTGCCTTCCAGGAATCAGGGACACATGGCCAGTTTTGCCACATTTACCCTTTTGTCTTAGACTCACTTTCAGGTACCTCTGAAGCACAGAAAATGCTGTAGGCATGCTAGCTCCTGAGTGGCTCAGTCGATTAAGCAGCTGCCTTCTGCTCAGATCATAATCCCAGGGTCCTGGGATTGAGCCCCACATCCGACTCCCTGCTACGTGGGAAGCCTGCTTCTGCTTCTCCCTCTCCCTCTGTCTACTGCTCTGCCTGCTTGTATTTTTTCCCTCTGACAAAGAAATAAATACAATCTTTTAAAAAAAGGAAGAAGACCGGGGTGCCTGGGTGGCTCAGTGGGTTAAAGCCTCTGCCTTCAGCTCAGGTCATGATCTCAAGGTCCTGGGATCAAGCCCAGCATCAGGCTCTCTGCTCAGCAAGGAGCCTGCTTCCTCCTCTCTCCCTCTCTGCCTGCCTCTCTGCCTACTTGTGATCTCTGTCAAATAAATAAATAAAATCTTAAAAAAAAAAAAAGAAAAAGAAAATCCTGTATGCATAAAGGAGAGGGCATTGGGAGTAGGACAGTTGGACTTCTGGGATATCTATGACTGGTCTGTGAGGGCTTGAGCATTTGCACTTTAGGGATGAATTGAAAGGCACAACATCTGTACCCCACACTGTGTAGGAGGCACCCTGGTTACTAACACACCAAGAGAAGCGTGTATGAGCTACAGCAGCATGATGCCAGGGGTAACGAATTCTGTAAGGGGGGGTGTTGGAGGAAGACTTCTTAGAGGTCGGGCCTGAACAGGTTTTCGGAGAATGAGTAGGAGTTTACAGTGGTAGAACAGAGGAAGTTAATCACAGAACAGCACGCACAGAAGCTTTACTGCCTGACTACCTAAGGTGGTATCTTGGATGAACTCAAAGTAAGTTTGCCCACTTTGCCATGTTTTTGTGGATTCATTTCTTGTTCTAGTATTTAATAGGTAACTTCCATGGCTCTTTACAAAGTACAGGTTTAATGTATGTGTATTTATGTTAAGTATTTAGACTATTGCTTGGCACAGCACTCTTAGTCAAATTTCTGATAACTAAATAGCTCAACTTTTTTTGTATAAGATGTACAAACACTTTCAAGCCCAACCAACAACTGTCTTTTCCTGTTTTCTACTCTTGTCTGCCAAAAATCCTAGACACTCAATATCTTTTTGTTGTTGTTGTTATTTATAGAGAGGGAGGGCAGGTTGAGAGGGTAGGACAGGGGCAAAGAAAGAAGGAGAGAATCTTAAGCAGCTTGGAGCGCCACCAAGCTTGGGGCTGGGATCGCAGGCCCCCAAGATCATGACCTGAGACACAATCAGGAGTTGGTTGCTGACACTGAGCCACCCAAACACCTAATTTCAAAAGCCAAACATGTTAGGAGACCAGTCTAAGATAGGTGCGGAATTTAAAAAAATCTAAAATAGGCTTTAAATGTTTGTGGTCTGGGGATAATTACAGGCAAACAAATATCTAAAACAAGTCTTGAGGATTTTCGCCTCTTATTTCCTAAGTCCCATTTCAGAGATTTGTCTTAAATCGCATTTGACTCTCCAACACTGCCCTCAATAGATGGCCGCACGTTCAAGGCGGCACCGAGAATAGAGAGTGCGGCACCGGGCTAGGTGTGGCGGTCCCCACAGCGAGCGCCACGTAACCACAGCGCTCCAACTAATTCAACACCTAGGACAGGCTAAAGGAAGCGTGGGCCGGCCCGGATATTAGGGCAGAAAACTCGGGCGGGAGCAGAAGCAACCGGCCGGGCGGTGCCGGGTCGCCGGGCAGACACCTGGGAGGAAGGATACGCGTGGAGCGCGAGAGGGATGCGAAGAGAGGAACGTCACGCGGCCCGGCACCTCCCAGGGGCGCTGGGTCCAATGGGAGGAGGGCGCGAGCCGCACCTCAACCTGCCCGCGGACGTCACGACGCCGAGGAGGACGCCGGGCCAATGGGAGGCTGTCACGGGCAGGGGCGGGGCCCCGAGGAATTGGGCTGGGCCGCAGCGAGACAGTTGGCTGAGTCCTGTGGCCGCCGCGGGAGAGGGGGAGGGCCGAGGCGGTCGCTGCGGACGCCGGCCTGCTCTAAGCTTCTCGCGCGTCCTTGCCACTTCCCGCATGGTGTCGGTTTCTCACTGAGCGGCGGCGGCGGCGAGGCGTGAGGGACGCACGGCGGGGGCGGCTTGGGGTCGACGTTTCCCGTCGCCGGCACTTCCTCCTGCGGCGCCCGTGCGTGGCCGTCTGGGCCGGCGGGATGGCGGCGGCGGCCCGGGGGAGTGGCCGCGCATCGGCGCCCCAGCTGCTTCTGCTCCTGCTCTTCGCGCTGCCGTGGGCCCCGACCGGCGTCCGCTCCGTCCCCGACGAAGACCTTAGCCACCGGAACAAGGAACTGCCGGCGCCTGCCCAGCAGCTGAAGTCGCAGTCCGCGGCCGTGCAGGGCCCCGAGCCAGCCCGGTTCGAGGTGAGCAGGACGGGCCGGGCCGGCTGCGGAGCCGGTGCGCAGGGTACCAGGCTCGCGGCCGCGGGCAGCGCCGTGCTCGGCCTCGGCGGCCGGCGAGGGGGAGGGGAGCCCGCCGCCGCTCCTTGCGGGTCGAGACGGTGGAGGGCGCTTGTTCCCGGGTCGGGCCGGGCCTCGCCCGGCTTTTTATGGGGGAGGGGAAGGGAGCGCCCAGCCCGGCGTCCGCGGGAAGCTTCCCGCCCGGGGACGCCGGGATGCTGCTGCCGAGGGATGGGCTTCTGGATGACCCGCCGTGTCCTCAAGAGCGGCAGATACCCGTCCCGGGTAGGAAGTTTTTGACCGAGGACGGTGGGAAGCTTTTCGTGTTCCCTGAGGATAACAGCATCGGACGTTTCGGTGTTGAAACCGCTTGTCCCAGACCGCTTCCCCGGATTCAGCTTTGCACGACCTGTGTGTTTTGCCCAGTGTATGTGGATTATGAAGCGTGACTCTCACTTTTTAAAAAACGTGCTCTGGCTTGCAGCAAGTAGCCCTCGGGAATGCAGAGGAATAACCAGTCAGAGTGCTGCGGCGGTGTGGGATGGCAAAACTAAATTTCTGAGCATACCAGAACCCGGTCCTTTGGTCTTAATTAACGTCTTAATTTACGTTACTAGAATCACTGAGTCGCTTGTAAGCAGACCCTCGGCGGCATTTTTAAATGCCTTCCCTGTAGCCAGAAAGCTTTCTCCCCATTTCCAGTTAGGACTCCTGAATTGAGGCCTCTGGGATCTCTTCTCGTGGGGGAGGTTTGCAGTTCCGCCTCTCCCCCTCCGCCCAGGCAGGCTGCATTTAGCCAGACACCGCCTAACGCATCTTTCTGAAATGGAGTTCTCTCCTACTGCTCAGAAACCCTCAGTGAGTTGCCCCCGCATACTGACTTCAGTCCATCCTCTTCTGCCAGATGTTAAGATTTCTTCCTGATTTGGCCCCAGTCAGCCTCCAGGCTTTTTGGACACCACTCCCTTGCTCATAGGCAGTACTCAAACCACTCAGCCTGGACATGTGCCATGTACTCTGTGGCCCGTCTCCCCAGCAGGGAGCCTCCCTAAAAAGGCCTCCTGAGCTTGGGGCGGGCTGTCAGAACCGTCCCCACCTCTCCAGAACCAGCAGATACCTACTCGTTGAAGACGTCCCTAAAACTTCTAGTTAAAAGTGATTTCTCGGGGCGCCTGGGTGGCTCAGAGGGTTAAAGCCTCTGCCTTCGGCTCAGGTCATGATCCCAGGGTCCTGGGATCGAGCGCCAAGCCCCACATCCGGCTCTTTCCTTGGTGGGGAGCCTGCTTCCTCCTCTCTCTCTGCCTGCCTCTCTGCCTACTTGTCTGTCCAATAAATAAATCTTCAAAAAAAAAAAAAGGATTTCTCTCTTGCCTGTCACTCCTGGGCTCAGCTGACCCGGCTAGCCATTTCCACTTATGAAATGGAACTTAAAATGCTGATTCATCAAATGTATTCTTAGTGTTTATCCTTTAGGTTTGTGTCATTTAAGCTCATTATCTGTCATTAACTCATTATTTTCAAACTAGACTACTTTTGGTTAAGTAACTTTGTGAGTGAGAGAGATTTTGAATGTAACATTCCAGGCCTTTCATCATAGTTTTAGTCACATAGTGATTTTTGAGATATAAATAGTGGTAGGTGTGGCTATTAATAATACCTTTTTAGGCAGCAAGGAGAAGTCTAGCCTTGTAAAATAAAGACAGCAGTGTGCCGTGACTGTATTTACGTGGACTTAAGGATCCTTGTCTTTAAAACTGGAGATGGGAGGGAAGGGACAGGCACAATATAATACGATTTTTGTCTTAAATATTTTGACACACAGTGGACCCTTGAACAATGGGTTTGAAGTGGATAGGTCCACTAATACGTGGGTTTTTTTTCAATACAGTATTGTAAATGTTTTTTCTCTTCCTTACGATTGTAACATTTTCTTTTCTCTAGCTTACTTTATTACAAGAACACAGTGTAAAATGCATGTAACATACAAAATATGTGCTAATTGAGATCAGTGTACGTTATCGATAAGCCTTTCTGTCAGCAGTAGGCTGTTAGTAGTTAAGTTTTGGGGGGGCCCAAAGTTATATGCAGATTTTCCACTGTGTGTTGGGGGGTGGCTCAGCACCTCTAATCCCGCATTGTTCAAGGGTCAGCTGTGTTCTTGGTGGTTCTTTTAAGATAGGATTTTTTTTTTTTTTTTTAAGATTTTATTTATTTATGTGTCAGAGAGCACAAGCAGAGGGAGTGGCAGGCTCCCTGCTGGGCAAGGAGCCCTACTCTGGGCGCATGCCAGGGATCATGACCTGAGCAGAAGGGAGATGCTTAAACGGCTGAGCCACCCAGGTGCCCAAAGATAGGAATTTATTCTAAATTGTTCTATATTGTGGTAGAATCTGATTATCTTGTTTTAGTCATGTTTTCATCTAAGGTTTTGATAAGGCTCAGGTTTTTTCTCTAGGGTGCTATAGCATTTTGGAAGAGATTTTTCTTTCTAAACTAAAACATGTTTTAGTTAAACATGTTTTTAAAACATGTTTTCTAAACTATGTAATTTAACGATCCTTTGTTTTTTTTTGTCCTGTTATAAGTAAGATATGGTCAGAGTTCAATTTAATAACTATATAAGCAAGGGCTGATTGTTGCTGGGTATCTGGAAGTTTCAACCAGTTTGCTTTGCAGCTACATCCAGTAGCTTTTAAAAGGGTAGGTTATTTAAATTTACTTTTTTTCATGCCGCTGTGTGAGAGTGGACTTCTGAAAATGGAGGGGGGAGAATCTCTCCTTCACTGGTAGACATTCACATGTAGGATGTATTATGAAAATGTTATACCTCAGGATACTTTGAAGCAAGATAACAACTTCTGACAGGGCTTTCGACATTGTTTTTTTTTTTTCCCCCTATAATCAGCTAAAAAAGTTGGGGCTTCACTCTCTACTGACAGTTACAAATAAACCCCAGTTTACAAACCCATGGGAAGAGTAGTTGTTGGTCACTTGGATCCTTTCATTTATGCAGTTTATGCTTCTAGTGATTTACTTAGTTTTTTTTGTTTTGTTTTGTTTTTGTTTTTGTTTTTTTTTCTTTTTCTTTCCCTGGGCAGAGCATGTAATCCAAGAAGCCTTAGGTCCATTTAGTTGAGGGAGATCAGACAGATTTTATAAAGCAGTTTACAATTAGCTGCGTATTCTGGACGTCCACAGAACCGCTCTGGTTGCATAGCACAGTTGATAAAGCCACAAAAGCCTATTACCTCACCCAGTGCAAATTCTTGTTACTGTATTTCTGCTTTACTGTTTCTTGGCATTTCTTCTATTTATTATCTTTGAACTGTGAGAAGGCCTTCTGTGCAATATTTTATTTTTTTATGTATTTAATTTTTGTATTGACATATAATGTATTATTTGCCCCAGGGGTACAGGTATGTGAATCATCAGGCTTACACACTTCAAAGCACATACCCTCCCAATGTCCATAACCCAGCCACCCTCTCCCCACTCCCCACCGCCCAGCAACCCTGTTTGTTTTGTGAGATTAAGAGTATCTTATGGTTTGTCTCCCTCCCGATCCCATCTTGTTTCATTATTTCCTTCCCTACCCCCCACAACTCCCCACCTTGCCTCTCAAATTCCTCATATCAGAGAGATCATATGATGTTTATCTTTCTCTGATTGACTTAATTTGCTCAGCATAATACCCGCTAGTTCCATCCATGTCATTGCAAATGGCAAGATTTCATTTCTTTTGATGGCTGCATAGTATTCCATTGTGTATATATACCACATCTTCTTATCCATTCATCTGTTGATGGACATCTAGGTTCTTTCCGTAGTTTGGCTATTGTGGACATTGCTGCTATAAACATTCAGGCGCACGTGCCCTTTTGGATCACTACCTGTGCGATAATTTTATACACATTTTTCCATTTTCATGCGATTGCACTCATGCTCCATTCCGCCCAACCCCAACCGCTCAGTTCTAACCTCTTTATAGCAAAGATAGAGGCTGTCAGGTGACTCTTGTCTTACTCATGATTGCTCTGTCAGAATGAAGTGATCATTATGTTACAGAATTTGTTTGGTGGTATTCTACTGTCAAAGCAATTAAAAAATCAGTGAAGCTAAATACATTTAATACATTTCAAATCTCAATTTATAAATACGTTACAAAACTAACAAAAATAAAGTTTAACTCATTAAAATGCATTTACAAAAATCTATTAAATACATAGTATTCTAATATGAATTAACAAGTAACAAAAAAAATAAAAAACAACAGACCTAACCATTCACAGATAAAAAGACATTCTAGTGAGATTTATAATAAAATACAATTTTATCTTTAAATACAATCTCTTATTTTTTATTTGCTTATTTATTGAAAACTTTTTATTTAGGGAGAGAGCTTATACGAGCAGGGGAAGAGGCAGAGGGAGAGGGAGCATCTCAAGCCGACTCCCTGCCCAACCTGGAGCCCGGGTCACAGGATACAGGGCTACATCTCAGGACCCTGCGGTCACCACCTGAGCTGAAATCAAGAGTCTTGATGCTTCACTAACTGCGCCACCCAGTCTTTTAAAGACCCGTACAGTCTTTTAAAACCAGGTTTTTCCATGGTGTCTTATTTAAGTTGCACATGTATTTTTGTGCACATTTTCCATCTTGTGGGAAAGGCATTTCTGACTTGATATGGTAAAGTAACAGTGAGGAGACCGTTCTCAGCCAGTTCTAAACATTTTCCTCTAGACCCCTTTATCGCCAGATTTCACCTCTGATATGATGACCTTTGTTGATTGGCTTTCTTGCTGTCTTCTTGCAGGGAGACCAGTCCTTGTTTCACAGGCATGGGCGGCCGTGTGGAGGTGCCCCTGGGGTTCCCAGGCCGCTTTCGTTCAGTCACTGCCGCGGTGTGCACATCCGAACTCTAGAACTCAAGTAGGAGCTATTGTTTGCCTTGTCGGCATTTTCAT